TTGTCTTGGGGGATTCGAAGAAGATTCAGATATCCTGGCTGTAGTCTGTAGGGCTGTTTTGTCCAGCTGTTTGGAATGTAGGATCAGCTTGTACTCTGTTTCAGGTGGTCTGGCGTGATCAAACCACATTAGTCTGGAAGGAATCCACATCTTTTCATTTTCTGTGGAAACAAAAATAGAAATACTTTTCCCCAGTAACTTGTTCCTTATTTACTCTTGTAGTAATTTTTTATTTCATACTCAACTGCAGATAATTTAAAATGGTAGCAGTCACATCAAATAACATTTCTAGTAGTGTCTTGGAAGATGCAAGTCAATGATTTAGATAGCAGAGCAATGAAATGAATGTTTGACTATTACTGTGAGGGGAAAGGTCACAAAAAGACCCCTTAGCCTTTGGCATTGTTCCGTGAACTCCCTAATGCCTCTGTCCAGTTGCCTGAGTGATTACTAAGTCAGACATACTTAAATTAAACCTTCATTTATTACAGTTAATGCTTTTAAATGTTCAATGTAAATGGTACTTCTAGGTTCCAAACAGTTAGTATCTGATTTACAATTGTTCTGTTCTTGTAGTTAATTTAAAATCAGTAAAATCAAAGTTAGTGAAATAGTGAACGGAATAGGCAGTGTGGTCTAAGACACTGCTCATACTGACAGATCAAAGAGAAAGGCCAAGAAGCAAAAGAAGCTAACAATCATTTCAAGAGATAATCACTTAAATTCTGAAGAGCAGTTTAAGGTCAGTTTCATGAAGTACATTACATGACCAAATCAAAAATACTTACTTTATTATTATTATTACCATCATCATCACTACTACTACTACTACTACTACTACTACTACTACTATTATTATTATTATTATTATTATTATTATTATTATTATTATTTGGGGAGACAGGGTCTCACTGTGCAGCCCTGGCTGACATGGAACTCATTGTGTAGCCCTGATACCTCTCTAGTGCAGGGACTAAAGGCATACACCACCACATCTGGCCGAGTTGGGGAAGTTGCTGGACATTTAATCTAGTGCCTTGCACATATTAAGTGCATGTCCTACCACTGAGCTGTCACTAGCCTTCCTGCTCTCATGCTGATGCTCATGTTTAGGCTGCTTTTCTCCTCGTCTTTATTCACTCATTCATGAATGTCTTCTTGCTTGCAAGGCATGGCAGGAAGTCTGTATTATCCAACAGGAATAAAAGCCTGGTGTGTGTGCAAATCATTAGACTCTGCAATGACAATAACATAGATGACAAATATCTTCTATGGGTTTTGCGAGAGAATGAGCCTCCTCTACCTGCCAGCTGAAGACTTTCTTAGTTGTCATGCAGGACTTGATCTCACATATGCACTTCACTCTGTGAAAAACGTGTGTGAAACAGGGATTTTTAGAACCACTTAAATAATACTTAGTTTTGTGTTATTTTACTTTGTATATTTTGAAGCTGAGATTTTAAAAATGAGATTACACTGCATAATAAACTTTCTCCTTAAATTATGCCTTTTGAATTCACATCTACTTTTCTCCTGATATTAATATCACTAAACTTGGCAATATTAATAATGATGATTATATTGTGTTGTGTGTAGTACAGGTTCTAATTGGTCTTAAATAATAAAAACCCAGAGTCAGCTATCAGGGGTGAAAGCTGAGAGATCAGAGAAGCAGAGATGCCAGCCACTAGTTCTTACCTCTACCTCAGACTGAGAGAGTGAGCCTCAGACTGAATGCAATGAGCTCCTGTCTCCTCATGCCTTATATTCCTCTCTGTCCAGCCAAAAACTCCAGTTTTCACCTCCCTAGTGCAGGGATTAAAGGCTTGTGACCCCCAAGTACTGAGATTGAAGGTGTGAGCCACAACCTGGCTCTGTTTCCTTTTTAGACCGGATCGATTTTGTATAGCCCAGGGTGGCCTTGAACTCACAGAGATCCATCTTCCTCTGCCTCCCAAATGTTGGGATTAAAGGTGTATGCCACCACTGCCTGGCCTCTGGCTAATTAGCGGCTAGCTCCACACTCTGATCTTCAGGCAAGCTTTATTTGTTAGGACACAAACAAAATATCACCAGATTTCAACTTTTCCATGTCATGAATTTTGTAGTTATATGTCTGTTAAATTTTATATGGCATATAAGCCACTATTCACAAGTGTATATGCAGTAGTTTTTCATAGATTCAAGGTTGTATGATCAACAATACTATGTAATTTTAGACTATTTTTTCATCACTGAAGCCACATTTTACATTAGCAGTCTGTCCATCTTCTACATTTTGCCATTTCCCAGCAGTCACTTGCCAACTTTTTGTCTCTGGATTTTCCATTTATGTACATTTCAGATAGAAGGTGGTGCACAACATTATAGCTGTCTTGTCTGGCTTCTTACTTAGCATAAGTATTTGAAATTAATTTACATATTATTTGTCTTTATTATTTTTAGTGGCTGGATAATATTTGGATATGTAATAGTCTCCCATCCCTTATTTGTTGTGAATATACTCTGAGACCCTAGTGAAAGCCTCAACTTACAGATAGTAGGGAACTCAGTGTAGCTATGATCTCTCCTTTTTATACCTATGATGACGTTTAATTTACAAACTTACCATGTAAGGATGAGTAAGAATAAGTTACAAAAATCAAAGCAACCTGGTGTAGTAAAAATGATGCTGATTAGTAAGTTACTTCCAAAAATTTCCATGTAATAGTTTCAGTCTAGTTATTTTGAAACTGTAGGAAACACAGTCATGAATAGAGGGAAGCACTAGCATATCACACTTTTCTCATCTGTTGATAGACGTCTGTGTTGTTTCTAGTTTGTTGTGAATAATGGTGGTACAAACATTGCGTGTAAGTTCTTACATAGATAAGTGCCTTTATTTTTCTTGAGTAGAGCTGCTAGGTTACAGGGTAACTTTATTTATGAGGTATTGAGAAATTTTCAAACTATTCAACAGTTGTTGTGCACCTCACAATTTTTGTAGCTAGTTCGTTTTCCAACTTTCACTATACACTTGTCAACACAAACACTAGGTCTGTCTTTCTAGCTATCCCACTGAACATGAACTGGTATTTCCCCGTGATTTTAGTTTTAATGTCTCTGATAACTAACGTTATTAACTAGCTCTTCATGTGCTTATTGGCCATCCCTGTATTTCCTTAAATAAATGTCCATTCAAATTAGGTACACATATAACTGACTTGTCTTATTCTTATTGATTATTATATACATAATTTAAAAATATATTCTCTGATCTTAGGAACTGTCTTCTCTTTCTTGGTGGTGTATTTTAAAACCACACAAGTCATTAACCTTGATAGCCTCCTATCTATTTTTCTTTTGTTGTTTATATTTTTAACATTACATATAAGACACTACCAACTAAATTCAGTAGGTGATTTGAATGGGCCCCATAGTTCATATGTTTGATTACTAGGTCCCTAGTTAGTGGGACTGTTGGGAAGGATTAGGAGGTGTGGCCTTCTTGGAGGTGGTGTGTTGCTGGAGAGAGGAATTTGAGTTTTCAGAAGCCTAAGCCTCTCCAAGTTCTCTGTCTCCCTCCTGCTTGTGGATCAGATGTAAGCTCTCAGCTACTGCTGCAGCGTCATGCCTGACTGTCTGCTGCCCTGTTTCCTGCCATGATGATCATGGACTCTAACCCTCTGAAAGTGTAAGCAAGCCTCCAATTAAATGCTTTCTGTTATAATTTGCCTTGGTCCTGGTGTTTTCACAACAATAAAAAATAACGACACCAAAGTTATAAAGGCTTACTTCTGTGTTTTCGCCCAAGAGTTTTAAAAGTGGCATCTCTTGCATTGAAACCTTTAATCCATTTAAAATCAAGTTTTATGTATTATGTGGGTAAGGGTTGAACTTTATTATATATATAGGCACTCAGCTGTACTAGTTTCATGTACTAGTTTCATTTTTAGGAAGGAGAATTTTCTTACATGCTCATTAGCCTGATTGTTGAAAATCAATTGACTATTATTAATATAAGAATTCACTTCTGAATCCCTAACTGCACTCCACTGGCTGTGTCTTCTGTCCTTCTGCTGAAACCATAGTGTCCTGAGTCATGGGATCTTGTCTTAAGTTTTAAAATGAGAAATCATGACCAAGTGGGTTCTGCTTTTACAAAACTGTTTTATACCCCTCACATTTCCATTTAAAGTTTTTGATTATTGATTTCTGTGCAAAAAAGTATTTGTCATTTTGATGGCCATGCTGTTATATCTTAGAGCCCGTTAGCTTAAATTATATTGCATTTGTTTTGAACCAGTCTAAAAGTTCGAATCTCTTTGTATTACTTCATATTATAAATATATCTGGACAAGATTTAATTTATGTTTTCTGTTTACAATACTTTTTTTCTCTTTTTCCTCTCATCCTCTCTTCCTAGGTTCTATCAGATTGCATGTTTTTAAAACTCCCTCTTGTTATTCCAACAAGTCTAGAAGTTAAACAATGCAGTCCTCTTCTTTGGAGTGTTATATGTATGTGCGAACATATTAACCTTCAATTACTTTTCTGGAACTTTTGTATTGTTACTTTTTAAATTCTTCTATTAGTTATAAATGTCCTAATTACATCTCTTTCTTTGTGAATAACTCAATATCATTTATTTACTTTTCACCATGGTCTGATTCCTTTCCCTCTTGTATTTATTATCTTGGATTATGAATATTCCTTGTTTTTCACTGCTTTACAAATTAGTCTTGTTTAAATTTTCTTATCATTTTTATGGTTTTGTGAAGGTGCGTATGAGAATGTTTAAAACAGCAACTCCATATCTGACCATTCCACTATTGCTGGAGCCTGGCCGATGGCAGATTAAGGCCTTTTCAGAGACTGTGCAGTGGAGGGATGGACAGAAAGGTCTTGATTAGGAGCATGGGCCAACATCCAGCTCAGTTATTAAACCACATAACCCCATTTTAGTATATTGAGCAAATCTGAAGCAATATAAACTAATTCATTTTGATATTTGTTTATAGATGCAAGTTTCCAAAACTAATACTGAAAAGAAAACGCCCAAGGTTAGAAAGAGGAAAAGGTATGTGTTGTGAAATTAAAGTATTAGGATACAATTGAGATGTATAAATTGGATTTAAATGTTGTATGGCATTTTCCCTGATTTTTTTTCTTCACTGGGTGGATACTGTGCTTAACCCTTTGTGAAAGAATCAGTAAGTTAGTAGTTAGAAGTGCAGAGAAGATTGTGCTTTATTTTCCAACAGGGTTTCACTGTGTAGCCTAGGCTACACAAGCTTCATCCTCTCAGATGCTGGGATTGCAGCTACCATACTTGTCTGGAGAAGTGTTATAGTCCTATAAAACTGTTAAACTTTTAAAGATCACTATCATGCAAAACACCCATGTATAAATGATTTTTAGCTTAAAATAGGTAAGACAAGCCAGTGTCAAACGTCCATGATAAAGTGATCAGCCAGTGATAACAACCCTGCATTCCTCTCATTGAGCTTGCCTTAGCATGCGTTTTCCAGTATATGACGGGCTGCCCTAGGTCCCGCTCGCAGGGAGAGGCAGACACTTGCATGTCTTTGCAGAAGAAAGCCACTTTAAAATTATTTGTTTACTTATTTATTTCATTTCATTTTGTTTTGTATTTGTGATGTATGTGGGACATGCACATCTGGAGTGCATGTGTGAGAGGTCAGAGGATAACTTACTTTTCGGTATCGGTTCTGTTCTTTCCGGCCACCTTACAGGGTCTTGGTATTGAACTCAGGTTGTCATTCCTGTGCAAAAGTATCTCCACCAACCAGATAGCTAATTCTGGTTGTTTGTTTTGTGTTGTTTGTTTTCGAGACAGGGCTTCTCTGCACCCCCCAAGTGCTGATATTGAAGGTGTGCACCACCAATTCTTGGCTAGATAACTAATTCCTAAAAGTGGACTTTGCTTGCCCTACCTCAGTTATAACCCAGAATGTAATCACATTGCACACCCTGGGGGCATTTACAGTAATTCTGTCTGAAGAAGAGGTGAAGAACTGACTCATGGGAACGTCTGATTGGCAACTGCATCTGCACAGATGTTTTCTGTCTCTCATCGGCAGCACAGTGTGATGAGAAGTATGGCTTTGCCATCTGACAGAACAGGTTCTGTCATGGCCAGTGGTTTACCTATGGTCCCAAATCGCTCATTCCCTCTTGTAGCCACAGTTCCTGAACTTCCTTATATAATGACAACAGTGATTACTTAATAGTTCTTGGAAGACAATTGCATGAAGAAGCCTGTGCAAGTGCTCATTGGATTAGCTTCTCAGTGCTTTGTAGCTACTGAAAGCACAGTTATTTTATGTTCCCTGATTTCTGTACTGAAATGTGCTGTGTGAGACATACAAGAACAAACACCCAAAGATTGAGACGTATGCAGCCACAGAACACAGTTAACAAAAAAATACACATTTCTATATGTGCAGTAAAACGTATATGCTTGTGTGTGTGCACATGCATAGCCTTATCGTGGGGTCACTTCTTTGAAACTAAATCTGCCAAAACCCTTTTTCAGGAATGCTGCTTTAAAATGCTCTGTTGAAAATGTGTGTTCCGATGAAGCCTTGTCAAAGGAAAATAAAGGTATGTGAAGGCCTGAGATGGTTTTAGTTTCCTTGCCTGGATAGTTGATTGAAGTAGGTCATGGGTCTCACAGAGACTGAACTAACAGTGCAGAGCGCGTGTAGGTCTGCACTGGGTCCTATGCACAGTGCACGTTGAGAAGCTTGGGTTGGTGTTTCTGTGGCACTCCTGACAGTGGGGGTGGCGGTGACTCTGACTCTTTGCCTGCTCTTGGTCCCCTTTCCTCCTACCGGGTTCCCTCACCCAGCTCTGATGTGGTCCATGTCCTTGGTCATGTCCTTGGGAGGCCTGCTCTTCTCTAGGGGGAGACAGGCTGGGAGTGGCTCTAGAGGAAAGGGGAGAAGGGGGCACTGGGAGCTGGGAGGGAAAGCTACGGTCAGGGTACATTACACAAGAATAAAGAGTGTAATTGTTTTCTTTTTTAAAAAGCTATTGTACATGCATATGAGTAAAAGTCTAAGTAGGTCATTTTGATGTCAAATGGGAGCTTTTCTATTTTCTCTGAATTTGTCATATATTTAATGTTTTAAAATAAAGTACTGACAGCTGTAGAAGAAAATGCTAGCAACTGTTCTTCAACCCAGACATCTCCATCTCAAACCTATTGGAATCCAAAGAATGGGAAAAAAATGGACCTAGTAACAGCCTGGATCCTAGGCTGAATTAATTGCCTCAGTTACTTTTCTATTGCTGTGATAAAAAACTATGATCAAGGCAAATTTAATTTCATTTTATGTGAATTATGAATCTGACTAATCTTATTAATAAAAAAATCAGGAGTCAGGTATCAGAGTAAAAATCTGAACGACCAGAGAAGCAAGGGAGCATCCATGCTTGATTCTTCTGACCATAAAGAAGCTGAGTGAGAGCCTCTCCCTGCCCCTCCTTACTACTCCCTGTCTCTTTTCTGTCTGCAATCCTCTAAACCTCAATGGTTAATTTTGGTCAACTAGTGGCTCTAACTCCAAGCAAGCTTTATTTATCAGAACATAATGAAAATATCACACATCATCTTCCCCTTTTTGTCTGAATAAAAAAACAAAAGTTTTACCTAACATAGTAAAACTATATACAATAAGTACAACAAGTATAAGCAAATATAAGGGCAATAATTACAATAACAATGTCTAGTCCATTTTAATTAGACAAAATCAAAGAAAGTACTTCATTATTTGTCCTATCTTGGTGCGTCTGAAGTGTTGTACCTAATTCACTTTCTATCCTAACTTTATTTATCATCCCAAAACTATTTATGTCTCTCAATGTTATACACTTACACCACTTTTGTGAGTATTTTTTCTGAATTTGGTAACAAGGTAAACTATAACCATCTAGTCTTCAACTCCCTCAGAGACCGGAGAAGGAAATAATATTATCTGAGTAAACAAGAAGTACAGAGCAAACAACTTCCAGACCTAATAAATGACAGAGACAGCTGGCTGTGTAGACAGTCACCCAAGGTTCCTCTGTAATATTGGGGCATCTGTCTTCAGCCTACAGGCCTAGAACATCTGTCAGATTTTTCTGTGAAGCAGATTTTGAAGGGCTGCCCCACCTGTCTTGGCAAAATTCAGCAGTCACTTTCTTTTGGGTCCTGCTTGTTCAAATTAGACAGCAACTGTCATCAGTCAAGGCAAGAGCAATTTCTTGCCCAGTGACTAACTTTTGCCACAAAAAGTAAGCTCCACATGAAGTTTCTTAGTGCCCCTAATCTTTGAAGTAGATTGGTGCTGCCAGGAGCAGTCATGTTTCATCGTCATAAGAAAAAGAATCTTACGTTATTAAAACATCTTAACTGACATATTCTGTAGCTCTATGAGTGTTTGAAGACGACCTGTCTAAAATATATCTCTATTTGACTTTGAAAACATGCATAACATGACCTCACGTTTGATTATAATAGGTGAGTAACTACTAACCTACATTTCTTTATTATCCTAAATAGTTTGTAATAATAACTAGTAGTTGCTGTTTGTTTTAAAAGTAGATTCAGTTGGTGGCACATGCCTTTAATCCCAGCACTCTGTAGGCAGAGGTAGGTAGATCTCTATAGTTCAAGGCCAGCCTGGTCTATAGAGCTAATTCCAGGACAGCTTCCAAAGCAGTACAGAGATAGAGAAAACCCTGTCTTGACCCCCCCCAAATAAAGTAGATTCAGTAATCTACCCTTTTCTATACCCCCCCCTATTTTAGAAAGGGATCCCTGAATCTAATCTTTGTTCAGCTTTTTTCCTGGACATTACCAGGAAACCCCCCTGAATGATGTCATATATCCATAATTGTAACACAATAATTAAAAGACCCAGCTTCAAGCTGGAGTTCAGAGAAACAAAGTAGCCAAGCCAGTAGACCCTACCTCTAACCAGTTGAAAAGGCAATCCTGTCTCCACAAATCCTCAGAGGCAAAGGGATCTCAGATCCTGTCTCCTCCTCCTTATCTTTCTTTCTCTGCCCAGCCATATCATTCCTGTCAGCAATGGCTGGTGGGATTCAAGTTGTGTACCAACACTGCCTGATCTCTATAGCTTGAGGATGACTTTGCTTTTTGAATCTTAAGGCAAGTTTTAAATAATCATACATAATCACATATAACCCATTGAATAAACAAGAACCACCCACTCCACCTCTTGGGAATGTGAGCATTATATTCTTAAAATTACATCCTGTTGCCTGGGGACCACAGCACCTTTAGTGGACCCTGAAAAAATGAGACAATTGTCAAGTTCTGGGAGAACAGTTGTATCATTTGAGATTCAGTGTCTGTGTAATGGGAAAGTTCAGGGCTTATCTCAAGTCCTAGCTAGAGTAGTCAGTAAAGCTAGACCATCTCAGCTAGCCACTTTGAAATTGTCCTGAGCAAACGTTTGTAGCCCAAACTGATCTTTGGGTGGTATTTGTCAGCTTAGTGGCATTACCACAACACACGTGGAATCATCATTATAGGGCCCCATCCTCCTTTTGGAGACTTCAAAGCCCACTGTTAGGCATGGTCACGGTTCACTGTAGAAAAGTTAAAACATTTTAAGCAGATCTTGAAGAGGTAAAAGGACCATTATTTGCTATGTACATCCACAGTACAAAAACTTAATTCCTAACTAACTGACAGAGACCTAAATGTGAAATCATATATAGAAAGCTAGATGAAGCCTTTTGCTAGAATCAGTTCTCTATATTATCATTAATACCATGACAAAAAGTTTAAAACATATATGTATGTGTATATATACATATATATACACATACATATTTATATTTACACACACAGGCACATATATATGTATATGTATATATATATATATATGTATATATATAAAATATTTATACCTTAAAAGTTTTAAAGAGTCAAAATAAAACTAAAAAATTTGAGGTTAGTGGCAATAGTATATAGTCCCTTAATTTTGGATTTTTATTCTGTCCCATATCAGGTGGTTCTTCTGATATGAGACAGAGATTTTGAATTTTCCTTTTAACATGCATGCTTGGATTAAGAGAAAGAGAGAGCCATAACCCAACTCCGAAGCTAGCTTTAATTTTTAATTGGACTGTGACTACAAAAAGACCATTAGCATCATATGTCTGTAGAGAAACAAGCATTTGGGAAGATAGATGAAATTTTACCCTATTGGGGATGTAATATACCACTAGGCCAATCTACTCTTTTTCTTGGGACAATTTTTGTTTGGATGATTCATCATTTTTCTTCAGATGTCTCATTTGACCAATGGTCTTCAGATTCATTAGCTGGATGCCTTAATTCTCCTGGAAAGACAAAAACAATACCCTGTCCCAGCCCTAACCTTGGGAAGTTTCTCTTTTGCCAAGTTATATCTGATTAAATGAAAAGCATTTATTAATCTTATAAGTTTGTTTATATTGAATGGTTTGATGATGAACTGTCACCTCTTTTAATCAAGAGGGCGCACTTGTTCAAACTGAATCTTTTTCAATTTCTTCTCCTGTGGAAACAAAATCAAAACCCCTTCCCCAATGTAACACATATCCTGGTTTCCACTCTGAGGTCAACACATCTTTAAAGTATGTGAATTTATTTAGTTCAGCAGTTTTTCCTACTATCCAATGTTTCTCCACAGCTGTCATTCATTTCTCATTAGCATTCAGAAAAGTTAAAGTTAATAAAATATTATGCAATCTATCTCTGGGGATCTTTATTACCCCTTTGTGTTTATTAAGCATAGCTTATAGAGTTTGGTTAGATCTTTCTATAACTGCTTGCCTTGTATGATTGTGCTATATACCTATAATGTGCTTTAGTTGTAATATGCAAAAAAACATTTACATTTTAGTAGAGACATTTGCTAGAACATTGTCAGTCTTAATTTGTACAGGTATCCCCATGATGGCCATAATGTTTAACAAATATGCCATTATAGAATGAGCCTTTTCAGAACTCAAATCATTGAAATTCTGGATATGCATCTATTGTATGGTGCATATATTTTAATTTTACAAATTTTGCAAAATGAAACACATACATCTGCCAGATTTCATTCCTTTGGATTACTTCCTGCAGGTAGTAGAATTTGGTTATACGAAGAAATAGAAGGACATTTCCTTATAATTTCCTTGGCTTGTTGCCAGGTGATGGGAAAATCCTTTCTCAACCCCTTGCCATTAACATGTTGTTTCTTATGAAATTCTGAGGCTTCTAGCACATTTACTACCTTGTGCTAGAGTACCTGGTAGGCCTGTATGGGATCTGATATGTGTTATATATAAGTGATGTTTTTATTTCTGATTATTTCTTGTAATTCAACAAATAAAAAATCAATTCTGAATCATCTGGAATAAATTCAGCAATTTAAATATATAAAATAACTCTGCATACTGAGTGTCAGTAAATATATTAAGAGTTTATAGAAAATCTAATGACACCATAAGAATAGCATATAGCATATAATTCCAACTTTTGAACAGAACCATAAGGGGTTTGAGCCACTTTACTTAAACTACCTGACTTATAATGTGATTTTTCTGATTTT